CTGCCCCAACACGCAGGAGTTGCCATCTTACAGTGCCTGGGAAAGAAAAGGGAAAGCAGGCTCTTGCAAGTGACCTGGCTGGCCTACCTCAAACACAAGCAAGGCAAGGAGCTCACCACAGGCTCCCAGCTGGCAGAACGTGGCTCTGCTCAGGAGCCACTACAGGCACCAGCTGCTGCTGACTGATCTTCCCATGTGCCCTGGTTTGATCGACACAGGACGAATTTCTCTTCTAATACTTGGGAAGACCGCACTTTTAGGCTCTGGTGTCTGAATTTGTGAAAATATTTACTTTACAGCCAGCTATGGTGTGTGCATTTCAAGGTCTCAGTGTTTTCGAGCTTGCCAGGTGCAGGGATGAGGAGGAGTGAGACCTGGGCACTTGGCCCAAGCTGGCCAACAGGGTTATTTCATACCATCAACATCACATTCAAGATAAATTAGAAAGTTTGTTGCAAAGTTCTCACTCTGCCTTGATGGCTGCCATCCTGAGACCTTCGTGCCCTGGTACCGAACCCCTGAGGCCTTCCCTTCCTCCCAAAGCTGTAGCGCTCGCAGTGTCCCACATTTGTTGTCCACTGCTGGGAGTGCACAGCTTCCTATTGATAGAATGAGCTGATAATCTTTGCATATTCTGTATTGGTGTCAAGATCAATATTGGTTCTTTAGTGCTGTTAATGGTAATTATCTAATCTTATTCTATTAAATCTGTTTACACTTCAGGTCCCGGGTTTCCTTATTTTTTTCCCAATTCCCTTTCCCTGGTGGGGAGGGGTCATCGGGTGATAGAATGATTGTCTAAACAATAATAAATTGTTATAGGTCTCTCAGACCATAACACCATGGTCAGAGGCAGCTTCAAGGAATGTCTGTCAGAACCCCAACTCTGGATGAGGACACAAAGCTATAGTTAACGGCCGCTGGCAAAATTAAGCTATCAAACTAGATGGGCATTACATCCTGCAAAGAGTTTTTCCTGACTATTAGCATGGACAAAGCTATTGACTTGGAAGAAAGAGACCTAAAACAGTCTCTAGACTGAGAATCTATTGTTCACATAATGTAATGAGTGCTCAATGGATTGCCTAGACGTTAAGGCATTACAGTGTGTCTTAAGTACCCAGGCCTCAGTGCTCTGTTTTTAAGCATTAACACCCCAGTTGCGCGCCCTCCCAGAGCTTTGTAGGTTTATGCTGATTTAACAGAATAATTTCAGGTTCAGATCCTGTTCTCTCATCACCAAAGATCAGGAAGACTTCAGGGTTTCTGGTTTCTTGTTTGAGTTTTATTTTGTTTAATATCCTCCAATGGACAACTCTTCCTCTCCATTTCTTCAGGAGTCCACACACAGCACCAAGGCTTTCTTAAAGCTAGCTTAATACACTCTTATACAGGAGTGTATCCCAGCACCTCCCTTAGGTACACTTCACCTGAAAAATCCTCCTACTCTGGAGAAATACCCTGTTAAGCTATTCAACCCTTTTTCTTGCAAGTACCTACTGAGAAGTCAGAGAAGCTTCACCATAGCTCATGGACAAGACCCTTCAACTTCTGCCTGGCCAGGACCTATACAACATATCCACCCTATTCACCAAAACAGGATTTTTGCTCCTAGATCTGGGGGGAAAAAAAAAAAAAAAAAGTAATTTTTTTTTTCTGGCCACCACAGATGCTAGAATATTTGACAGTGACACCAGTGTTTACTGGTCTCATTCTTCAAGCTGACTTAAAAGGTTAAGACTTTTCATCTTTATCCAGGCCACAAGACTTCAACACAACCATATATAGAGCTTTGCTGTCTGACAGAGGAACACCAAGCAAGCACGGCTGTGCGAGAAGAGAAGGCTCTAAGCAGACTTGATAGAAGAATATCAGGGCCCTGAGCATATTCTCCATCTTCTGGGGGACTGGCTGCCTGGATTCAGGTCCAGGTTAAATAATATAGGTGTCTGGCTTTGTGAAACCTCAGCAAGGTTCGCCTGCAAGCTTATCTCAGCTTAAGGTTCTCACCCTTGATCCCTGCCTGAGCTAGTGCAGCCGTGCCCATGCCTGGTCATGCACCCTGCTGATCTAAATCTTCATCCTGACCTGCTCTGATCCTCCTGCTTAGGTACTGTGGGAGTCTTCCTCTGCGGGCAAGGCCACTGCCCCTGTTTGCCTTGCTGTGACTCAGCTTCCAGCTTGCTCTCCCTTTCAGAGGGCCTGTCCTTGCTGCTCCCTGACGAAGGGCCAACTCAGCTCACCTTCTCATCTCTGCACTGAGAGAGACTGCTTCGTATTTACAAGTGTGGCAAGAACCAATTCTGAAGACATCTGCAGGGTCTAGAAGCCTCTAATGCCTGAAGTGCTAAATGGCAGGGCAACCAAGTTCTCACTTGTTAGTTTTATCCGCATTATTATCAAGCATCCCACACCCCCCTACAGTCAGGCCTGTTTCCATGTTATTGGTTTGGGGGTTTTTGTTTGGTTTTGGGTGTTCGTTTGTTTTTATTTTATTTACCCCATTTGGAACAGCCATAGGTCATTTTTGTGACCTTCTTCCATGCTCCTACTTCTTCACCCAAACACAGCCCGAACGCGTTAGCTCATAAAGTTGTTCTTGTCCAGTCTGTAGGCAATCACACACTTGCAGAAGGATAAGTAGGCTACTAGGATCTTGCTGGAGACAAAGACCTTCAATCTGCAGGGCTTCCAAAGCAACAGCAATTTGACAACTTAGAAGACTCATGACATTCTTTTCCCCAATATTACTTGTTTAATTACCATTTGCACCAGTACATCTTATGCTTTATATACATATATTTTTAATTTTTGCTTCTTCAGCTTTTCAAATACATAATATATTATCTCCAGAATACTAACTAAGACAATACAGAAGAGGCTCATTGTTAGTTGTTAATTGGTGCCATGAACTTCCTTGGTTTGGGGAACTGATACATAGTTGAAATGACAGGACCTCACAATGACTTGAGCAAAAAAAAGGAAAAAGAAACAACCAGCAGAGTCCATGACTTTGCTAGCAGATTATAGCCACCCACAAATTCAGAGGAGGCAGGGAGTTTAAGTACGATGAGATTGCAGGAGTGACTATGGAGGTGGGAGAGGGGCAGCAGGGGGGGAACACCAAGAAAGCCAGGGGATCAGGATTAAATGACTACTTAAAATACATCCAAGAGCAGTCTGGTCCCCACTTCCACAAGTGGAACTGCAGCAGCTTTAGAGCTCTTTTCAAGAATTTTGCTTCCCAGAGGCATGGTCTATGTGAAACTTTGCCTCCAAAATGCCCTCAGTGTAGCAAGAAGACAAAAAAAAGGACAAGAGAACTCTGCAAGTGCAAGGTGCATACAGCTAACTACTCTCTTTTAAAAGCCTCACCAAGGAACCTTTGCCCAAAAGGAAAAAGTTACTTGCACAGATATGCTAGCAGAGCATATCCCAGTTACGAAAGTGTTGCTGCTGGTAGACAGTTCAAATAAAGAAGCCTAGTGTTATAGTAACTGGGTACAGCTGTACAAGAGTAACTAAGACCACCTTCCCAGCTAGCACAGAGGGTAGCTAGCGCTGTGAGGTTTCCAGCCTGCCCACGGGCTTTCCCCAGAGAAATCAGCAGACTTACACCCCAGATCACATTCACAGCTGCCGAAGATGGAATAGTGTACAGATCAAAGGGCCTTAGGAAACTCTCCCAAAGAGAACAGCAGAGAGTAAGGGCCTTCTACCCCTTTCTAACCCCCTAAACCACACAGGAAATAGAGGGGGTTTGGGGCACATTAAAAATAAAAATATATCCAAGTTACAATAACCATCTCACCCCCCCAGAAAGTTAGCCTCAGAAAAAAAGCCACAAGAAGGAACACAGGTGGGAGAATTTCACTGCCGCAGTTCTCAAGATTGGGCCTACTGTACATTTCTTGCCCAAATGGTAAGTGTGAGCTGAAAAGGGAAGGAGACTGTACCTTCACCAGAGAATAATCCACTGTCCCACCATAGTTCTTACTGTGGCATGGATATGCAATACTTTAACACAGTGCCAAGTCACAACACAAGGCCAGGGCTCAGGATAGTGACGCAGGAACACGAAATGCTGAGTGGTAGGATTACCTGGTTGTCATCTAGTGCAAGTAACTACCAAATTACAAAAAACAGGCCTCTTTTTTTTTTATGCTATTTCCAGTTAAAACAGCTCAATGACAATGAGACTTTTGCACGGGGCAGGAGGGAGAAAGGAATGAAAATGAGAGAAGTTCCTCCAGTGAACCTGCAAGCCAAATAAGGAGCCTCAAGATGGGGTGCCCACCTGGAGCTACAGCACAACGGCAGCAGGTCTACTCAAGGACTTGCATGACTCCTCCCACAAGAGCACAGGAACATCCAGCACTATCAAGAATTGTACCAAAGAGAGGAAAGAGCAGTGTGTGCATGGGGAGGTTCGCTCCTCAGCCCAGGCGTAATTAATCAAAGAGGGTTTTGTGTTGAGACAAGACCTATCTCCTTACAGCTTCCATTTACAAGCTGCAGCCAAATGCAGCTGTCCTCAGTACTGCAGGCCAAGCTGCAGAGACTTAAGTCACACTGGAAAGCAGCCACAAAAAGCAACAGTCTAACCAGAGAAAATTTAAATGACAAGGAACCCAGAGGCATCTACCCAGCCTCCTCCCGTACCCACCTTCTTCACGATTCTTGCCTTCCCTGTATGGAAAGACACGGAAAAAGAGCTGGATGTACCATGTAACGGCCAAGCAGGTGAAAGAGATGAGGCTACCTCCCTCCTACTTGCCCACCTTGTGAGGAGTCAGTATGTTCTCTTTAGGTTCAGTGGTTTCACTGTGGGATCAAAAATAGTAAGTTTTGACTAAAGTGAAGATCTGATTTAAAGAGGAAGGATTGTCCCAGTTTGGTTTTGATTGAAGAACTAGAGAGGTTTGTGCCCCCTCTGATCCCATTTGGTGCCTCTAGAGCCTCTTGGTCATCAGTTTGTCACATTCCACTGCTTCAATTATTCAGAACTGGACCCAGTTGGACTGCTGAGGAGCCTGATTGGGAGCAGCACTGAAATAAAGAAAGGAGAATCAACAGAGCTGATCTAATAAGACTTCTTAACTCATGGTTCTTCCAGTGCCCATCAGGACACCGCCATTCTTGCATGCAGTTCCCTTCACCACAGTTTACCTGGATGCAGTGCTGAAGTCTCCCCAGAGGTCTGTAGTAGCTGTTGCTGGTGCCTTGGATGTAGATGCAGGAGCATCCAAGTCTAATAGAATATCTAAGGCAAAAGAAAAAGAAAAAAAAAAAAAACATTAAAAAAATTCATGAAGCTAATCATGAAGAAAACACCACAGGCATTTAAACTGTCACTTTACACAAACTGCTGGATGCAAGGGCAGAGAATCTTTGAAGGGACTCCAGCTGTCCTCCAGAAGGAAGTTAGAGTTTTTAAGGATTTTGTTATAACAGCAGCTCCTTTTACTGAATGTGCACTGAGCCTCCAGCTCCTGCTACAGGGGTACATAGTCTTCAAGAACTATTTAGTCTCCACCTAGCATACCAACTGACAGATCTGTGACATACTACTCCTGGTAGAAATAAGGCTCAGACTCAGGCCAATCTCAGCAAACGTAACAGTCGCTAAGCAGGCATCACCTTAAGAGTACAAATCACACACTGGAGCCCAGCCCTATTCAGAAGCTTGTAGTTTCTTCTCACTCACAGTGAGAAGTGTGTACAGCACTGCTAAAGTCTCTGCCTTCACAAGAGTATCATCAGCTCTCCAAACACCTCTGTATGGTCACACTAAAAGCATGTACAGCATCCAGAACACTGTAGCAACCTCTTTGTTATAGAATCACAGAATGGTTTAGGTTGGAAAGGTCCTTCAAAGATGCTCTAGTCCAACCCCTCTGCCATGAGCAGGGACATCTTGCCCTAGATCAGGTTACCCAAAGCCCCATCCAATCCAGCCTTGAACACTTCCAGTGATGGGGCACCCACTACTTCTCTGAGCAACCTGTTCCAGTGTTTAATCGCCCTCATTGTGAAGAATTTCTTCCTTATATGCAATCTAAATCTACCACCTTTCAGTTTAAAACCATTGCCCCTTGGTTTTAAAGGCCACTACAGCCCCTGGTAAAAAGGTCTTTCTCCATCTTGTTTACATGCCCCCTTTATACACTGAAAGGCTGCAATAAGGTCTTCTCCCCGGAGCCTTCTCTTCTCCAGGCTCAACAGCCCCAACTCTCTCACCCTGTCCTTATAGGAGAGGTGTTCCATCCCTCTGATCATTTTTGTGGCCCTCCTCTGGACTCAGTCCAACTGGTCCATTTCTTTCTTGTACTGGGGACCCCAGAGCTGGACGCAGTGCTCCACGTTGGGTCTCACAAGAGTGAAGCAGAGGGATAGAATCATGTCCCTCAACTGGCTGGCCATGCTTCTTTTGATGAGGCCCAGGATACGGTTGGCTTTCTGGGCTACAAGCACACATTGTTGGACCATATCCAATTCTTCACCAACCAGTACCCTTAAGTCCTTGTCTGCAGGACTGTTCTCAATCCACTCATCCCCCCAGTCTGTATTGATACTGGTGATGGCCCCACCACAGGTGCAGGACCTTGAACTTGGCCCTGTTGACCGTCATATATATATATATATATATATATACATATATACACATACACACACACATATGTATGTAGTTCAACATATATAATATTTATATGTCAATAATACATCTTAAATAGATTTATATACATATTTTTATTAAAAAAAAAAACGCTACACCCACAATTCCACTACACTTTGCACCTCTTTCTGCTGCTTATACTAAATCTTCCACTCTGCCTATTCAAAGCCACTCAAAAAGTGCTTTTCCTGTATCTTTCAACAACAATCACAAGCTTATCTATATTTTTCTGCAGAAAGGAAATGACTGTACAGTGCTTTTCTGGACACCCTACACAGCTCTGCCAGTGTCCCTAAAGCACACAGAAGTTCAGGAAAATCCAATTATTTAAAATTTCACGCCCAGCCCCCACAGATCTTTTTAACCAAGTCGCTTGGTTTCTCTTTTTGCAAGAACAGAAGCTACAATGCTGTCCTCCTGGCAAGGAGAACAAGCAGACATTATAAAACAAACATGGAGATCTTCAGGTGAAAGAGAGCAACCACAGGGCACCGTTGGCACTAGACTGAACATTGGTTCCCTGACGCAGGCCTCAGTCCTCTCTGTGCACCTACCAGCGTCTGACAGACTGCGCTATGCTAATGTTTACCTGCACTGCTCGCATTACTGGATTTCAGCACGGGTGGTGGTGTGACATGGTTGGCAATGGCTGTGGAAGAAGGGGGAGCTATAGGAGGGGTTGCGATTTTGCCTCCTGGTGGGGGTGGCAGCAGGCTTAGGCCCCCTGATCCAGACACACGGGGCTTGGCTGCTCCTCCTTTCTTTGTCGTCATGTTCTGTATAAAAAGAAAGAACAAGTGAGGAAGAGTCTCCATTGGCATATCTATAGAAAGAAGCAAGGTAAACTGGGCTGCTTACCCCAATGTTCAGTTTGATGGTCTGACCTTCCTTAAACCCCAGGTCTAATTTGGGACGTGTGTCAGCTTCCTGGGACTCCTTGGATATCTCTGTCTCCTGCTTCACCCACCTAAAAAGAAGAGAGGAAGACGTAAGACCCTGTGGCAAAGGGGAACAGGTTTTTAGAAAAATGCATGGTTCCCCTCCCCACCCCACCAAAGAACTACCTTGACTTGTCAAACCAGCTACCTCCCTACTCCCAGTGCAGTACAGCAAAAAGTTGAGACCACCACAAGCCCAAGAGACTAACACTGCACCTGTAGCATCACAGGACCTAAGCTTAACACTTACAGATCTGACCCTGCAGGACTCTCATCTTGCATGACAGTTGGCAGCACACTCAAGTGTCCCTGATGAAGCCAGAGCAGAGCTTCATAACCATCCCAAGGAAGCCTGCGCTAAATGAACATGCACCACCACCCGCCATGTTCTACAGGCCAGAGGAAAAACAGCATTCCAGAAAAGCACAACTCACTTGAAGTGATCCTGCAAAGAGACGTTGAAGTCAAAGGCATCACCACGATCCGTGAAGCCAATGCCTATAAAAGCACTTCGTCCTAGCAAGGAGACAGGAGGAGTCATTGGAGGTGCCCTGCAAAGGGGCCCTTGTGTTCATTTACTCCAAAATCCTTCTGCTTCTCCTAAACCACTCTGTGCTACCTCCCTCTGACACACCTGCAACTGGACACCAGCAGCTCACAACAGTTCATTGTTCCTAGCCTTCAAGATGCACCCTTCTTCCCATCCAGCACTCTCAGAAACTGTATGGTCCTTCCCAGCCCCTGGACTCTGTGCAACATAGACAATCCTCCTCTGTTAACCTTGCCTTCCTACCCCTCCAGGCATGCCAGCCAGCCTTTTCAGCACTCCCAACACCATTTCAATCCACCTGGCATACACACAGCTCCACCAGGCCGTCTCCTCCACCCCTAGCACTTGGCACATGCATAACCCCTCAACTCACCAGTCCCATCCTGAATTCGAATGACAAAGTAGCGGCTGGAATCCGTCACAGTCTCCACTGCAATGCCAGGGTATTGATCTATAGGAGCCTGGGCAAAGAGTTCTCCTGTAAACAAAGAACCAGGTGTTATGGAGAGCAACCTCTTGCGTGGCCAGGGCTGTCACGCACAGCTCTGAGCAGGCTTAGAAGCACAGGCTTATAAGCAGCAATCACAGTTGCAGTCTTGGAAAGCCACTGCCTTTCCCCTACCTGAAACCTTATCCTCCAGTTTTATGTACGCAGTTTTGCCTTTGGAGGTGACACGAAGCCGCCCTGTCCAGTCTGGATGGTCCAGTTTCCAGTCAGATGCCCTGAAAAGAAAAGCAGCTGTTCACTGACCATACATCAATGCCTCCACTTCTGCCTAACCATCTCACCAAAAGTATCTGTTCCCAAACCTTCAGCATCTGCAGCTGCCTTATTCCACTTCTCTCACCAAACAATATATGAGGTCTCATCTCCTCTCTGTTGCTGCCAGTCGACACACATGGCTCTGACTGGCCTCTCTTTCCTCTGGAAAAGTGGAAATAGACACTGTCCAGAGAACATCAACTCTGTCTTTACCTTTAGAAACTTGCAGAAGAGAGGAGACTGAAATTCAGAAACTCACTTGGAACAGTAAACCCAAAAGTGGCTGTGAGATCAGGAAGACCCCAAAAATGAACTAATAGGATGCTGAAAAGCCACTCCATTGTTCTACCCTGTTGATATAAAGCACTATCAAGTACCTCTGAACCCAGAGCCAGCTAGCTTACACAAGGTAAAACATAATACACGCAGCCATCTTAACTAGCCAGTCAAACTCTTTGCTACAGACTGTTGTGAAGGGGAAAAAGAAAAGAAGGGGGGGAAAAAAGAGAGAGAAATAAAACCCAACCTATAGGATTCTACAACTGAAAACCCCAGTGGCCTGGCACAGCATCCACAGGGGCAACAGTTTGCCAAGTTCAGCAAGTACCACTGACATCCATCAGTGCTCCAAAGGACAAACCCATTTCTCCAGCCAGTCTGTCTGGAGACAGAGGCTGTCTAAGCCTCCAGCTTACAAAGTCACACTCCACTCGTTTCGGCTAAAGAGAAAGAAGGCATTTCTAATGCCTGGTCCTTCAATCTCTTCCTAAGAACCATGATGAACTCTTTCTGGCTTCCTCCCCGCTCCTGTGAGAGCCAACGGGCCAAACTCAACATGCCATTATACCACATCAGACTCGCATCCCAGGGAAACGGGCAGACCGGGAGCGGAGGTCAGCTCTACCTGGAAGAGCAAGTCACTCAGGTGCCCCCACCTCCTGCTCAGGATGAACAGAGAGCATCCCCTGCTCCTCCCCGGCACAGAGCCAAGCCTCCCCGCTTTTAGGCACAGACCAATCTACCAGAGGCGGCTGAAGCCGCTACATCCCCCAAAACGGCAGGCCGGGGGGGGGAAAGGCCCAGGGAACAAGGCTGGACCGCTT